GGCCTCCCGGAGTGTTAGGATTACAGGCTTGAGTCACCACGCCCACTTTACTTTTAATAGCTGAATAAACTTCAGAATGTAGTCCCCACATAGCATTATAATTGAGAAGTATGAAGAGGAAAAAAGGTGAAATAAGGAGGCTGAACGGGAAACTTAATACAAAGCTTCCAGAATATTGGAAAGCGCCTTTCCTGGAGGGTGCTGGGAGGAACAGCAGGTTGCAGCTGCATAGCACTGTCTAGGTGCCCGTGACTTGGCAGTAGGCTCTCCCTGAGAGCTGGTCACCTTCACAGTCTTTCTCCGCACTGGAGATTCAGCCTTCTGGAGGGTCATGGGGAGGGGCGTGCTGGAGCAGGAAGGCTTTGGCTTTAGATCAGGCAGAAGTCATTTGGTTCTGGTTCTCAGAACAGTGTGACTTTCCAGGCAAGTTATTTAACCTGCTCTAAGTCTGGAGATCCTTATGTGTAAGAAGTCAACCTGTTGGAGGTAGGGTAAGGAGATAACAGGTAGGGTGGAGTTGTAAGGATTAAATGACGTGTTATAAAACAAGGAATAGGCCCTGGCTCATAGTAGCAGTTCAGAAAGCATGGTTTCCCTCACTCCTTCATGGAAACCCTTACTTTGTCCCTTATTCTGAAGTTTGTTAAGGCTATTTGGAGCCCAGACACATTCACTCATAGAAACTGGTAGCTCTGGGCTTTGTGAGGTCTGGCCCCAACTCCTGCCTACCTTACAATCCCCTTTCTCTTCTCACCACCCCCATTCATGGACTTGACTTTCAAGATATGGTGTCTTCCTCAGCTGTCTTCCAAACAGCCCTCTACTTCCCCACCAACACATTTTTACTCCTTCATCCTGGAATCTCAGACCTCTGCTTAGAATTGTCCATCATCCAAGTGAAATTCACATTTTAGCTCCTCCATTCTCTGATGTCTGTCCAGAACTAATTTCTCTTTCATCTGAATTTCTATTCCATCTGACCTTGGAATAGAAACTTTATAATAAAAGTCACAATATATCGATTTTTGGGAGCATCACATATTCTTATATCCGTCACACTAATAACTATTTTCTGTCAAGTAAATGAAGGATAACAATAGCTACATTTGTTGACTGCATGCTATATGCCAGGCAATGCACTATGCCCTTTACATGCATTTCCTCAAGTAATCTTACAGGTTAAAAGGATGTAACTCATGTTCTGAGGGGAGCAAAGGTCAGTTGGAGTAAGTCCTTTTTTCAAAGTAAAGTAATCAGAAAGTGGGGGGAGCAAGGACTCCAAGACTTACTTGGATGTGTGACTCCAAGCTCTGTGCTCTTTTTACTGCCCAGAAGAGAGCCTAAATTTTAAAAACCCACAAAAATACCACTAAAATCAAGCACTGAGGACATATGCAATCTCAGGTTTACATGCAATTTTTATCAGTAACCCAGGCCACCAGGTGAATTGGCTCATGCTTGTAATCCCAGCACTTTGGATAGCTGAGGCAGGAGGACTGCTTGAGGTCAGGAGTTAAAAAACCAGTCTGAGCAGCCTCATCTAAAAAAAAATCAGCTTGGGCATGATGGCCTGTGCCTGTAGTCCTAGCTACTTGGTAGGCTAGGGTGGAAGGATCACTCAAGCCTAGAAGTTTGAGTGCCCCGAGCTATGATTGCCCCACTGCACTTCAGCCTGAGTGACAGAGTAATGTCCCCAGGTCAATCGCAAGGCAAGCCTTAGTCTGACCTTGGGAGGTAGCCCAAGAAAGCAAAGCGGCAAGAATCCAAATTCGTGGCCTATTAAACACTGCAGAAAACGCTTACTGCCATTAGAGGGCTCCCTCTCCCTTAGACAAAAAGTGCAGCACCGCCAGAGAGCTGTAGCGAACTCGGCTAACAGGAGCCCGCTTGGCGCTCCGCCCATCTTTCGGAGACTCAATCCATTTTGCCTAGATCCCTGGTGGGGGCAGAGCCTGGCCAGCCTGGGGAATCCATGGAGCAGAGACCCAAACCGGATATTTTCACAGCCACATCCTTGGATCCCCTGGGTTGGGGATGCTGTGGGGTGGGCCCTAGGCTCACCTGGGGGTTCCCTGCGTACGCTCACACTCTGCGGAGCGGAGTGAAGGAGGACAGAACAAGTGGAGACCCAATAGGAAAATCCAGGATTGCAAACCCCATATGCCACTCTGGCCGGGGAAGAAAGGCAGAGAAAACCGCCCACCGGGACCCCGCCTTAGCAGGCTCTGTGGGTCCCGCGCTGGTGTAGATTTTGCGAGGTGGGAAGAGGGGATCCCTTGGAGTAGTGAAGCACCATTTTGATTTAAAGTACCCTACAGAGAGAACCATCTCACCGGGCCATGGCCGTGTGTTAGAGGCAGTTAGAGGATTTCTCGACCCCCTGCACCGGACCCGGAGGAACCCAGGAAGAGAGGGCCTTCAGCGGCAGCCCGTGAGGGTTCCCGGGGACCCAGAATGGGGCTGGAGGCGAGAACTCCATGGTGTACTTTAACGCCGTATCGCCACGCTTTAGGACTGACGTTAAGAGAAGAGGCAAGTTCCTAAATCGTATCTAAACTATTATTACAATTACAGAGAATAACACAGATCTACCGCAAAGGCTCGAGCTAGGATTAGCTAGGGAAGTAAGATGATGATCCTCCCTCTCCTTTTCCAGATTTGTTGTTTTGGGTAAATTATGTATATATTTCAAACGTGAAGAAAATGGTGAAGCTAATGTAAGCTGGGTTATAAAACATTTCCAGAGGCTTTACTGTAAGTTCCCTGAAAGGAGATGCTGGAAATAGGACGGGCAGCTGGGCCCAAGAGCTCTGGACGTAGAGCCCCGGCACAGGGCTGGACAAAACCTTAGCCGTCGAAAAAAACAACTCCGTGTTCAGAGATCTCAGAGGGGGCAGATGCAAACTGAGGTGGCCCTCGGTGGCTGGTCCAGTTCGAGTTTTCTTACAAGGACCACCCCCTCCCTCTCCATCCTGCAATCTCGCTGGCGTTGGACCAGGTCTAGGGGCCAACCAGACGGCGCAGGCCTGGCCCGGTCGTGAAGGGCAGGTTCGGAGGCAGCCTGGGAGAGGCGGCCAAGGCATTGTTGTCTCAGTCCCTGGGGTGGGATCCTGCAGGGGGGAGGGGAGGCGGTGTGGCTCAGGACCCGCCCTGTAGCCCTCGTGGGGACCCGTCCATCAGCGCTTTAGGCCTTTGTGAAGTGTAGTGAATCACCATGGAAACCCAAGGGAACGCAGAGAAGGGCGCGAGAGGTGTCAGCGTATTCTCCAGCCGCGCCCTCTGTCCCCTCTCGGACCCCGGCCCTGCAGCAGGGCTTGTCGGGAGTTGTAGTCCCAAGGCGGCAACGCGCGGGGCGTGGAGGATGCGGGGCACCTCCTGTCCCCGCCTCCCCCTAACCTGCTAGCGCGAGGTGGGGAACGCTGGGGAGGAGCAGTCCGATCCGTGATTGGCGGAGGCCGCTCCCAGCCCCCACCCGTGTCCCCTCCCCCGCTCGCCACTTCGGACTCCGGCTCTGGGCGCGCTGAGGCGGCCACCGAGCGAGTGCGCTTGCAGCCGCCGCCGCCCCGAGCACCCGCAGCTCCGGCGCCGCGGCGAGACGAAGAGACTGACCGATCGGCGGACCCTGCAGCCTCAGCATCCTGGAAGAGTGGGTGATGGCAGTGGGGGTGGGGGGCTTACCCTCCCGGGGCTGAAACATTCATTTCTCCCCTGTTCTGTTTCTCCTAGAGGCGCACAAAAGGGCGGGGATCCGAGTGCGCGTAGGGGCCCAGCTACAGGCGACGCGGCGGAATGTGTGGTTTGGGATTGGGAGGTGGCCTTCGGGGCCAAGCTGGGGCGCCAATCCCGTCCTTTTTGTACGCCCAACAGGGCGCTGTGTGGTACCTTTGCTCACAGTAGGAGTTTAATGTGTGCTCCTGGGATTGCAAAGAACTAGGATGAAGACGCGGCTTGAAGGGGTTTCGCGCCTAGCACACTGTAGGCACACTTAATGTAGCTGGTCCAGCTGTAGTGAACCACTGGAAGGCTGGGCGGGTGCTTCTTTCTGGCCGCCGGCCTGTCCTGCCGGGTCTCTGGATCGGCGCTGTCCGGGGTCCCTACAAGCTACCCAGACACACACCTTCCGCCCATCTCTCTTGCGGCTTGGGTTCTGCCCACCCTGAACCAGACCCAGCGGTCGGTTCCACCCTCGCAGAGAACAGAGCAGATGCCTACGGAGGACGCCTGCTGCCTCCGAGGCACCTGCTCGAACCACAAAGGCTGCCTGACGCTGCTCGGCCAGAGCGGGCGCCGAGCTGGGTCCCTTCGCTGGAACCTAGCTTCGAGTCCGCCCCGCAGCATCGACCTCTGCGTCGACGCCCGTGGCCTGGGGAAGGAGCTGGAGTCTGAGCTGGAGCGAAGCCGGGAAAGGGAGAAGCGGAAGCCTCGGTTTGAGCAAAGAGGGGGAAGGCTGGGGAAGCTGGGTGGGGACAGGTGACGGGATCTGGGGGGGGGGGCCGTGGAATTAAGGGTTTAGGGGAATAGGGGGGCGGGTCTGAAGAGCTACGTAATGAGCTGGGTGCAGGTGGCGCGAGGCGAGGCTGGGTGAAGAATGGGGAGGGAGCTGCAGGCGGGTGGAGCCTGCCTGATCTTAAGGAGGGAAGACCAGAGAAGGAGGAGACCCGCGCCGTGCGGGGGAGGGGTCTCCTGGGAAAGGGGGGTTCCTGCGGAGGAAGGGGCTGGAGGCGGAGAGGCGTGTGTCCGGCCCGAAGACCCTCGGCTCGAGGCCAGGGCCCTACGGCCCAGGTGACCGGCTGGGCGTGGTCCTACGACCACTGGAGGGACCCAGGATGGCGGATCCAGACCCAGCTGGGCTGGCTTCGGGAGGAGCTTTGTCTCGGGTTTGAAATAAGCCCACAGGGACTCGTTTAGGAATTTGTGATCATCCGCAGCGGCCGCGGCACGCCCTTTTCTCGAGGAGCTGAAAGGCTTTGCCCAGCAGCAGATGCTGCCAGGGAGGCGGAATGGGGGACACTTCCCGCCGGGAAGACACGGAGAACAATAGCCGATCTTGGTGTCCGACAGACTACGAGCCAGGGTCTCCCGGAACGCAAGTGTTGAGTTTTCTGGTGCCGAACATACTCCCGGAGAAACCTCCGAGCACGTGCTGTCTCTTTGGGGTTTGCATTGGGGCACCCGGCCCTGCCGGGAATACCAGGTGGGAGTCGCGCGGTCCCTAGCTAGTGGGTCGGCAGATAGCCCCCGGCTGTAGCGCCACCGCCTGCCGCATGCTGTTGACCGGCAGCGGAGACGTGGCGTGTTTGGTGGCGCGGGGCTGCCAGGCGTGGACACAAGTCCCAGTGGCCAGAGGTCGCCTGGGTGCACTCAGCGCAGAGCGGGTTCTCCCGAGCAGCCAGCTTTTGTCTGCCCAGGCGGCAGACATCTAGGGTCCATAGTGTGTTCCTAGCGGGAGTGGTCAGGGCTGGGGAGAAACGGGTGTAGAGATTACCCGCCAAGGGTGTGGCTGTTGGTTTTAGAGCCTGCAGCCGGGGGACCAGTGCTTCCCTTTGCTAGTGACCACACCCAAGCCAGTGAGTCCTTTGCAGATTTCGCTCATATTGTCTGCTGACCTAAGACTGGGGTGACTCTGTGATAGGTGGTGGCTGCTTGCCCATGGGAAAGCAGATGAACAGAATTGAAGCAGAAAATGGGAATTCAGCAGAGCTTTCGATGTACTCCCTCAAGTCTCTTGCCTGCTGTTCAAAACACCTTGCAAGTCAGAACTGCAGTGCTCTGACACGTGAACTTGACACCCACAAGCCAGCATTTTGTTTTACAGGTTTGTTTTGGTAATTGTTTAGCCGATAAATTAAGGTGAATCTTTAGCATAAGGTTTATTATTTTAAATTGTTATTCGTTAAAAAAAAAAAAAGGCAAGACAGAGCATTTTTGTTCTAAGACTGGAGGAAACTTGGCTAAATGACTGATCATACCAGAGCTAATTGATGTCCCTTACCATGGAGTTAGCTGATAACCCTGGGGCTTTCTTAAACCTCAGAATTTTTTTCTTAACCAGGTTGGTGCATTAGGTGAGAGAATGTGATATTACTGTTGGCTCTTGCTCAAGACAGATGGTAGTTGCCAACTTGAAGACCTCTGGGTGTCTGGGTGTCTTGACTGTCCCAAGGAAATCAGCAGTAGGCTGTGTCTTGCTGGTTTTAATGGATGGTGCTTTGCGGAGTTGCCTCTCAGAATTTATCAAACTGGTCTAGAACAGCGGTTCTCAACCTGTGGGTCATGACCCCTTTGGACTGTATTGAAGATTGGTGGCATTAAGGTTGAGAACCACTGGTTTAGAAGGACTAGCTGGAAACTAAATTATACACACACACATATCTATCTGACCACACGCATCCATCCAGAGTACATAAAAACTAGGAATCCTAACTTTGGAAAGCCAGAAATTTGATAATGAAGGTTTTTTTCTTGTGAAAGAACTCCAATGACAGACATGTTCTAGTGTCATTACCCAAAGGGAAAAGTTTCAGGAAGGAGTGGTTTGTTGGTTTATTCTTTTTGTAATAGAATTCTGAGGTGCATTCTTAACCCGGTCTTCCTGGGCTTGGGCAACTCTGCTAATACACCAATGTCATGGGCCATGAAGACCTGGCATTATTTTCAATGTGCTGTATAATTCTATCTCTGGAAACAGTTATATAGTAGGACAGATTACACAATTGGTCGAAATTAGGTTTAGGGACTTGTGTAGACTTCATTTGAAGTATCTCTACCTATCTTCTGGCATGGATATCTGATGGCACCTCTGACCAATATAATCCTGCCTTAGCTCCAAGGAACCATAGACCAAAGGACATCATGACATGGCAAATCTTTTAAATTAGGGCTTAGACTAATATGGAGAGCCAGAGAAGTCAGTATTAGATAATACCTGAGACCTAGTGTTTCTGATGTAAAAACTTACTGGTTTCTGATAGAATTGGATCCCCTGTGTCCTTTTTTGTTTTCTGAGCTATAAGAAAATATTTCAGGGCCAGCATGGTGGCTCACACCTATAATCCTAACACTCTAGGAGGCAGAGGCAGGTGGATCCCTTGAGCTAAGGAGTTGGAGGCCAGCCTGAGCAGGAGGGAGACCCACCTCTACTAAAAATAGAAAAATTAACTGTACATTGTAGCCAGAGCCTGTAGTCCCAGCTACTTGGATGGCTGATGCAAGAGGATCTCTTAGGCTCAGGAGTTTGAGGTTATTGTGAGCTATATGATGGCACGGTGATCTACCCAGAGCAACAGAGTAAGACTCTGTATCAAAAGAACAAAACAAACAAAGAAAAAAAAAAAGAAAGAAAGAAAGAAAAGAAAACATTGCAGAAACATCTTCTAAGACTTAATTCATAAAATCCTATAGGAGAACAGTAATGCAGAGCATTGTTGTCAATGTAAAATCCTGTAGGGAAAAATTGGTGTAATATGGAGGCAAATAAGAATAAGTATGTTTTATCATTTCTCGAGTAAGCTAAGTGTTTGATTTTATTGCACCACTAGTGAATCCTTTAGAGATAATTTCAAAATCACTTTGCCTTAGAATTTTTTATATGCAGACAAAAGGTTTGAATTTTATAGTATGAATCTTTTATGAACTTTGATATTTATGTATAAAAGTGGGCACAGTTTATATACTTGAAGGAACATAGTTTGTGATTTGTTCTACTTCAGTCTCTAGAACTTGTTTTACCTAAAATAAATTGATTTAGGGTGGCACCTGTTGCTCAGTGAGTAGGGCGCCGGTCCCATATACCGAGGGTGGCTGGTTCAAACCCAGCCCTGGCCAAACTGCAACAACAACAACAAAAAATAGCCAGGCGTTGTGGTGGGTGCCTGTAGTTCCAGCTACTTGGGAGGCTGAGGCAAAAGAATTGCTGAAGCCCAGGAGCTGGAGCTTGCTGTGAGCTGTGATGCCACAGTACTCTACTGAGGGTGACAAAGTGAGACTCTGTCTCTCTCTAAAAAAAAAAAAAATGTCCACAGATGCAATTTGACAAGGATTTGCTGATGAACACTGATATATGTCAAAATCATCTGAAGTTGGGCAGCACCTGTGGCTCAAAGGAGTAGG